ATTTTTTACATTTTGTCTTCATTTTTTAAAAGAAATTCCAAACCTCTCCTTAATAATAGCAAAAAGTAAATAAAAAATTCAAATCCTGAAACACAATGTTATATAATGTACATACAATATATATTACTATGTTACTATATTTCTGTAATAAACTCTGCATATTTTAAAACTGTTAGAGTAATGGCATTATTGTTTATGTGCTTAACAAGTGGCTGGGAAAAGAAATGGGTAGGGGCATACAAAAGTTAAATTTGATTTAATTTAAATAAACTATATTAGTACTATTAGCCATCTACATTTTGGCAAGAGCATTGGAGGCCGTATGTGAAACTTTCAGAAGATGCCGGTGAGCACTTCTATGTATGAAATTAGATTCTGTCTGTAGCATCTCCAATTGTTAAATAAATTAGAAAGCAGGAGTGGGGAAACTTCTTAACTGATTATGAAAAGCACCAACAAGTCACTGGATCAACAAGAATTGTCTTTGTAAAGTAAGCTTCATTAACTTCACAATTGTGAAAATTATGATACCTTGGTATACATTTTTAAAATTTTTATTTATACCATGTAAGCTGCCTAGAGTCACACTTGTTATTGAGTAATAAATCTCTGTTGTTGTACAGTTCAGAGATGCTATATGTTTCAATATTTGTGTCTATGATGTAACATACATTAACTGACCTGGAAATCACTAGAAGCTTTATTGTTTTTGATAAAAAATCCCCTATGATGGACAAAAATGTAGTTGTTCTTCTCAAACAGAGAAACTCAGTCCCCGAGTCAGAAAGAAGAAAATGTTTCCTTAAATTTCATTGAGTTTCTGTTATTTTGCAGTTTTGCAAATGCCTCACTTAACTATAATGAACTGTCACAAAGGTCACTTATGAAAGCTACTATGTCCTTATCTTCTTGCAGCACTAAGGCTGAGTCTATTCTTGTAGAGCCAAAAGGAAAAAGAAATAAATGAACACTGACTTGTTAATACAGTAATTTACAGTAATTTTTTGTATGTCATAGTACCATCATGCAATTGACACAAATCTGCATCACCCCTCTCATGTGAATTATGTAATCCATGTCATTCATGCCACATATTGTGGCTCCTTACAGATTCCCAAGACCTGACTTTTGTGATTCTGACTTACTTTATCCTTATTTCTTTAATATTGCATTAAAGTATCTATTATGAACATTAACTTGGCAATAGAAGAAGAAATAAAAGGCATTTATGCTATTTAAAATGGAATGCATATCAGCCTCAATTGTATTAAAATATTAGCAATAAAGAAAAATGGGGAGAAACTTTGATGATGCTAAATATAGAAAATGCTCCCTCTGCTCTGAGTATTCAGATCCAATTTCTGTTGATGTGGCAAGAATGCATACTTCCAGATTTAGTTATATGCATTAACAGTCTCTTTAGGACAATTGCAGGTACTCTTTTTAAAAAAAAGAAAATTTCCATGTCAAAGAACAGTGCATATTTGAAAATAGTAATTGCAAATCTTTGCCATGTATTTAAGGACCTCAGTTCCAGTAAAAAAATACTTGCACTATGAGTTACTTACTGGAATTATATTTTCATGGCACAGAGTTCAAATCTCTTATTCATGAAATTCTCTGGATGAGTTTAAGTCAGTCCTTGTTTCTAATCTACTTCACAGGATCATAAGAATAAAATGAGGGAGAAGGAAGAAAAATGCATGCTACCTTATGATAGTTTAAGGCAGGCAGTATATAGAAAAAGAGAATAAATAATATTTAATATAGTGAATTCTACATTACAGTCTAAGATTTGCTTTATTTAAAAAAAATGAAATTAAAATTTCTTTGCCTGAAACTAAAGCAAAGGAAATATTATATGAGTAGGTGGGGGGAAAAAAAGGGCATTTCGGTATTTAGTTAAATATAATCTTGTATCATTTTCACACGGGAGAGTTATTTTTAGAATAAATCCTGCCAAGTAATGAATACAGCTTTTATTTTTCACAATTGTTTCATCTCTGAAGGTTGCACATAATGGCCTGTATGCACATGGACATAAATGATGCACACATGCATTTTGTATACATAGAAAGTTCTATAAGTTACTTTGATATAAGTGAGGTTACAGGAAGGAAAGCTAACACCCTCCCAGTTCTTCTCTATATTTTCTGACTCATGAATATTGTAGCACCATTCTCATCAGAACTATTATATTTTAACTGCAAAATTCTGAACAACCAATAAATAACAACAGGGAAGTAGGTGGTCATCCAGATTTTTTTTCAGCCTAGATATGCTAGCATTGGTCAAAAATTCCTTCAAGAAAATGTCATCTTTATTAAACCTTTTGATTATTGCAGTGACCAGCAACAACAATATCTGCCCTGTACAAAACCTACAGTATTAGATAATCTGAGTTTGCACTGAAAAACTCTATGGTTGCTTCTCCTTGCATAAAACCCAATTGCAAGTGGAATATTGACAGATCAGGATTAAAAAGATAAGTAAGGTAGGTGAAAAACAGGAGACTTGTGAACACATGAAGAACACTATTTTTTAACTATATTCTATGGAATACAGTGTTCTATGAACAGATGGAAGTTGAGTATACCTGCTAGCTATACTTTTACAATGCAAGTGTGATTAAACTCCATAGCCAATTAAAGCTCTGTTTCAACAGATGAAAATTAGTTAATAGTCATTTAGTTATCGAAAAAGAAATCATAGATACATTAAAAAGTGTTTGGTATTCTGTGGACACAGCTATAGATGGCTATACTCAATCTCCTGAGGAAATGTATTTGATCTTAGAAAGGTATCATTGCTATACTCTGAGCTGTCCTTTTCCTGTTTGATAGAGTAGGGTCGGGTGGGGTGGGATGGAAAGGGGATGATATGGGATGGGCGGGAAGGGAAGGGAAAGAAAGGGAGTGGTCTTTACTTTTGATTTTGGCCTTTTCTCGTAATGGTTTGTGGTCATATAAGTTCATAGTAATTGGCCACCAATTTCTACTTTGAGACCTATCTACCACAAAGCAAGCAATAAAAAAAATTTCAATCAGGGAGTCTTGGGTAAAAAAAACCGTGAAAAACTGAGACAAAGTGGCCAGTCATATCTCCAGTGGCAAATTCCATGGTTTAGATCACTGAGGCAAAAAATGTGACTGGAAAAACAGTGCTGCCTCCATTAACGTTTTCAGAACTCCCTTAAGTGGGTAGGAGCAAATTATTTGAATGGTTCTGAGTTTTGTAGGTCAAAGAGCTATTTATACTTTAACTGTTCCCCCAAAATCAAGTCCTGAAGGACCTACTTACTTTGTGTGACCTTTATACTGATGTAACTTCAGCAGTTTTGGTTTAGGCTGTGCCATGAAGAAGCAACATTAGCTATTTATGCTACATATTAGTATCAAAAAAATGTCCCGTTGAAAAGTTAAAAACATAGAGCAGTAGATGGTCTTGCAAGTTGTGAAACAAAAGTCATTAGTCCAAAGTTTGCATTATTATTAAAAATTACAAGCATGCTCTCTTGAAAAACAAAAAAAAAAAACACACATTTTGATTTCACTTTTCAAATTTGATTCTCAAGAGAAGCACAGTTGATAATTGTAAGATCATAAAGCTGGAGAAATTTATGTATAAATATCATTCAATTCCAATTGTATGTGATTGACTACATGCACTTAAATGCTACATGCACTGAGAGCATTTTAAATGAGTAAAATTGCAAATGAAACTTGCACTATAACTTCCTCTATCCCTTTCCTTTTAATAAATAGCTTTATCCTTTTTCTTTTATAATTATAATCACTGATCAAGTTGTTGTTGATCCAGGCACATATATTAAACAGCAGCAATATAGAAAGACCCTGGAATCACGCAATCACTTTAGCATGGACATCAATTAATACTTTGTGAAAAAAGGCACTGCTAAACCTTTCCTATATTTTTTTATCAAGGAAACCACATGGGTAGAAAATATGAAATGTATTAGCTGCTCTTAAAATAAAGTTTTGAAGTGAGCTTACAAAGATGTTAATTTCAATCTTAGCAATGTCAATCTCGGTAGTAAAAATAATTACATATAAACATAACAACATGCATATACAATTTCAGATATGTTGATGATGGCCACCAATTAGAAAGAGAAATGTTTCAGAGAAAGTTTAATGCCTAACACATACCCTACTTCCATTAGGAACAGAACAGAATCAATATCACCGTCTGACCACCCTACTGTGAAGCTTAAATTCCAATATAACATTGTACATGTTTACAATATGGTACAATAAATACAATATTTAACATGTTTGATTAGTTCATGTTAATATACTGTCAGAAGACCTCAGGGCCATACCCTTACAACTCCCAAAACTCTCCTCTTGCCTTATCTCTGCATGAATCTATCTGGATGTAGCAAAATGGCATTGTCAGCATTGAGGAATTTGCTACTATGGGTCAGCACATTAGCAACAAAATCTGCTGAGCTGTTGCCTCAGTGGCTAACTCATGCTCGCTGATGATTAGCTTATAAGGAGCTTTTACATTGAAAGTCATCAAGCAGCAGAATGTATTCCAGAAATTTCAATGAAATTCTCCAATGGTTTTGATGGAACTGAAGGACAACCAACCTTTTCTGCCTTGTTTCTTTATTTATTTTGCAAATAGGGTACATTTTCCTCACTCAAAATATTCATTTCCAAGAAAAGCTCACGAAGACTGACCTTTTAGATAATAATGTAAGCACACTTATCTGGCATTCAAATGGAAAATGTTGGAAAGGAAGAAGAAAGTGATACCACTAAAACTATGCCTATTACAAAAGAGAGCTTTCCCATATTCTAACAAGGTAGGCTAGTTAGATTTGTCTTTATGGATCCATTTCATCATTACCCAAGATGAGCTATTTTCAATGAGGAGACAAATGAAAATACTGTGCAATCCTGTAGTTGTCCCCCCCCCCCCCAATTATCCATAAACCCAGGGGAAGGGGGAATAGAAAGATCAGTGCGTACCTCAAAGTCATTTGCTTTATTGTAGTGCATGTTGAGGGCTCTATACAGCTCACAGTCTCTGGTTATAGACAGCTCTTCAGTGCTTGTTACACCATCATTGATGGCTTGACGTGCATACTTCTCCATCTGAATGTAGTAGAACTCACGGAAATTGCTAAACCACTTGATGAGCTGAGAAGTAATACATCTGTTGAACTGTTAAAGTGTAAAGAGTACAAAGGATTAGATCATTCACATTTCCTCCTTTTCCTCCCCACAGCATTCTTACATCCCTTCCTCTTCCCTACCCTCACAAAGCTCACATCTTCAAAAGCTTTTAAACCTGAGGGATAAGGAGATACAAGAGGTTGAGCCAGATGATATAAAAATGTTGCACCAAACTTTTAAATAGCAAAATACTCTTTGAGTCTCATTCCTGAAGTTGCTATCCAATGCATTACTGTTCTACTAGACACAGCATCAGGCATGGAAAATATTTCAAGATTTCTAGGCACCACTATCAAGATTCTGGCACTTAACCTAGCAGGTGCCTTGGATTTCCAAGCTTTGTGCAATAGCCAAAGCATCACTATCAATAGTAAATTAATACAAGGTCCTATTGAGAACATTTATGGAATGATATATAGAGTAAAGGGAAAAACATGAGCTGCCTATTATGTCATTTTTTATGCTTCCCCAATTAATAAGAGTTTAACATTGTACAAGATTATAGACTCTGATTTTGAAAGTTAAATGAGGTATACGTAAGGCAGAACAGAGAACATATTTTTCTGATTAGAGTAATGAGGGAACGTGTTATAAAATTTTATACTTCTGCATATTAAATTTAAATTTTGTTAGCTCAGTAATGCATCACTTTAACTCATAGGGAATAAAGCTAACATGAAAAATGTTGGTATCTTTAAGGATGAGTTTTCTTACTATTTCCTATGACCTTTGAACTGAAGATGTCATTTAGGCTATGCTGCAGCTGATACCCTCTTATTGACAGCCTCTTCTATGTGTAAAGGACAGATGCAACTCAACTTGCCATGTTAAAGCCAATAAATCCATAGCTATATATCAGGCAAGCTGATATACTATCCCCTGCCTTTTGTCATCACAGGCATTCACTTCCCCTGGCCCCCAGAAAGAGATGTGCATTAATCAAAAATCAACAAAGAACACTTATCAAATGCTGGCTATGAGGACATCCAGGCCTCCAACAAGATGACAGCTAAAGTGTGCATTGGGGCTGTAATTACTACACAGAAAGTTGTTTCCATGCTAGCAAAGATAATAAACGAATGAAAATTTATGGCAGAGAATCTAAGCAACAAGGAAACAGAAGCAGGGAGACTGGTGTTTCTCCCAAAAGGCCAACTTGCATCATAATTGCCATGCAGTTGCAAGGGTCCTTACAGATAATTGACCAGAAAATGATTAAGTCATCATCAAATCGCTTCTGCTTGCAAGAGTTCAAACATGTACTTAACCTATCCAAGAATTATATTTTCCCTGTGTGTCTGCTCTGTCTCTATTCAGCCCTTGCGGGGAACCTGATTAAAAAGACAACTGAAGGACCCCTGTTATCTGATCTTCTGGTTACCGATTTCAATAGAACTTAAACCCATTATGATTTGCTGAACTTGGAGTTCTTTCCATTTTATCTCAGTAGTAAAATACACTGTCCAAATTTCCAGACACTGAGATAAGGACCACAGGCCCCTGTGACAGCTTACTGTTCCTTTTTAATTCTTTTAGAATAAGAAACAAAACATTACAAAATGATAGCAGGGTGTGCACTGGGGAATGAAAATTGCTTTGACATGGAGATTAGACTCTTGCATTGTTACAAGACATTGTCTCATATGGACAAGAGTTCTGGAAAGAGGAAAAATAGAAAGAGGACTCCCCCCGCCACTGAACCCTAGAATGGTCATGAATGCGGATAGCAAACACAACAAAAAAAGTAGTTGCACACATATTATTATTAAGCAACAGGATACAAAGGGAGATTTAATATTTATTGTTGAGACATGAAAATGGGGAGGGGGAAGAACTAATGACAATAGAAATATAACACATGGAGCAATTACATACATAACCACTAAAGAAACAAAGACAATAATATGAAAAACATTTGAAGAATAAGTTAACACAAATGCATGAGGAAGATAGATGGACACATACATACGTAGACAAACATGCACACACATATACCTCTGCCCTTGCCTCAACATTTTAGTAAAGATACATTAGGCTTCTTTAAATTGCCAAACTTTAAAGAGTTAATTATTTCATGACACCCCTCCTTTCTGCAGTGGAGTACAAGAAAGGGATCAATTGTTCTATAAAAGAAAAGCTCTGTAGTGCGTTAATGTGTTACTGCAAAAACTAATCGCTACAATAAAGAGTCTGTGCTTCCACAGTGTTAGAGTCTCTGTGACTTTGATTAATGCTTCCCACGGGATACCTCAGCCTCAATATGGGCTGAAGAAACTTCCTAAATATTCAATGAGCATGGTCAAAAGATGTATAAAACAAATCAATCTGACACCTTAAGCTAGCTAGGCAGCAGTTGACTCAAGGGGTGGAAGGAATGAGATACATCATTTAACATGCTGAGTTGAAAAGCCTGGAAGCTCCCGTTCTTCAAAGCTAAAATGACACTGAATCTGTTGTATTTAGCAGTCTAAGAATTATTAGTTTACACATTAAAATCGGCACCAAGTGGAGCGAAAGAACTGGATACATCTGGTATTTCTTTTTACAATACCAATTAAGAAGAATATGTTCACCTTAAGTTAAAAATGGTGCTTGCATCTTATTCAGCTCTATTTAGTTTAGCCCCTTAACTAAAATAGGGGGGTGTCAAAGTGCAACTGTGCATTATGACTCAAAGAACATTTCTCAGAATTCTAAGTGCAATTGATCCCCTGAAACAATTTGAATTTATTTTCAAATAAATGTACTAGGCTTATTTTTATGAAAAATACTCCATTATTTCATAAAGTTTGTTAAATTAGCTTTGATTTAAACTAAGTTGCTTTAAACATAGGACCTGTATAGACCAGCACATGGCATTGAACTGGACTTTGTACATTTATTGTGCAACATATTAGGATAAATTGTAGTGTGTGGGCTGTGATCCAAAGAGCCCTTGTATATTTTCCAAGTATTTAGTTCCAACTCAAGCTCATGTTGTATGAGAAATGACCTGAAAGATTCTTGGATTTTTTGGAATTAATTTTAAATAGGTTTTGAAAGCAATGTTTAATGATGAGTTTCTACATATGGAAGGCCTGTCTATGACTTCCTGGAACTCTATCCATGAATTGCAAAAAACCAACCAACCCATCCATCCAACACCCCAACTTCTAATTTTTATAGCCACAATTGATGATAAAACATTTTTGTGTTCTGCTGCAATATATTATTATCAATTTTAAAATCCCTTCCAATTAACTTTTAAAGTGATCCTAATAATTCCAGGAATAATTGCACCACATTGAAGGCAAATATTTTTCTCTACCATTAAAAACTTGGTTCCATAGCCCAAGATATGCTGATGCCTGAGGCAAAGAAGCAAATGACACTCTATCAACACAAGATGTATACAACCTAAAGCTAATTTTTCACCTTAGACATTTATTTCCCTTTTTGAATATAAAAATGTAATAATGAATTAAATGCCTAACAATTTTCTGTCATTTCAAAATAATTCCAGATCATGTCCTCAAAATGGTTACTTAATTCTGGCTAATAGTAAGACCAGACCATATATGGTTAAAGAGACTTCTTTAGTTTAACCTATTTTTTGTCCATTTTTCTTTACATGTGATACTCACAAAAACTACCAATGTATCTGACAATTGTAATGGTTTATTGACTATATTGCTGTACTACCAAGGAATTCAGTAGTTCTAAAACTCAGCTGCAAAATCTTGTGATAAATTTTTTTTTACTATAGAAGATTTTTTAAAAAAGTGATCTTATGTCTTTTACTTAGTTAATCTTCATGAAGGCAATGCTCACAACCATATCACATATCCTAGATTAGATAGTGATAGTTTGCTGAAAGAATGATTAGTGCATCATATAAATTTCTCAATATGGTGCCTTCCAGATGTGTTAAAATTAAACACTTCCAGAATCACACTTGGAATTATCAGATTGTAAAGAAGTAACATATGTTACCCCAAATAATTATTTCCCAACACTTTGTGTGGAAATTATAATTTATTTCCTTGCCATTAGACATAAGTAATAAATTATACGTCTTTTGTACTGTCAATTTTCCATTAGTTTTTAAATTAACATTGTTTCATATAGTTTGGCTAATGAGCTGATATTAAAGTTATTGGGGCATGGTATCCATTTTGGGTTCAACAGGAATTGTCTGTAGTAAATGGACAATACTGCATTAAGTTGTATCACCTGTATAGACTAGCGGTCGCCAACTGGTGGGCTGGGGCCCACTAGTGGGCCATAAGAAAATTTTGGTGGGCCAAAGAGAAATCTTATCCCCAGAGCACCCCCCCCCCCAAAAAAAAAAAAAAAACATCCCGTACGAACCCCCCCCCCCCACTCACTCCTTACCCTGCAAACTTGCCTGCTAAATTGCTATTTTTCCTTTTTCTGACTGTCATCTGTTCTGCTGTGCTGGGAGGTTTAGATTAGCTAGGAAGCAGGAAATGGTTGGATTTCTTGTGTTCTAGCTAGTCTTTAGATTTTCAGCTCTGTTTTTAAGTATAGCCAAACCTCCCTTAGGACTGAAGGTTCTATTATTCAGTGCAGACTCATGGCAAGGAAATTTGAGAGACTGAGCTAGCCGATGGCAGATAGATAAATCACTGAATGATTCTGTGAGCAACTCAAACTGCCTGCCTACATTGCCTGATTTTGAGTAAAAGTTGCTCTTTTTTTAAATAAAAAATTCAATATTTACATACATGGTGTGTTGTGAGTTAATTTTGTGAGTTTGCTTGCAAGGAAATTTTATGTGACAGACTGAGCTAGCCAATGGCAGATAGATAGATTTATGAATGAATCTGTGATTCTGTGAGCAACTCAATCTGCCTGCCTGCTTTGTCTGATTTTGGGTAAAAGTTGCTCTTTTTTAATAAATAAATATTTATTATATTTACATACAAGTCATGCCCAGCCAGTCACAAGACTACCAAGCCACACCCACAAATTAGGCCATGCCCACAGAACCAGTTAGTGGTCACCGGGATTTAAAATTATGAGTTTGGTGATCCCTGAGGTCTAAAAGATTGGCGCCCTCTAGTATAGACCATGGCATAAAAATGGCATCACAGCATTTTAGTTCCAAACAAAATAACATGAAAAGGAACTCATCATGGGCCTCTAATCTATTTTTACATCATATGACTTTTTTGCCCTCTTACATCTGGAAAATTTTATTCAAAAACAATATCAGTCCTTCAGCATTGCACAGATCCTGCTCATTCTAAACTATGTCTATTGAGTGATATTGAAATGTTCATTTGAATCTCAGTTAATAGAGCTTTGAATGAACATGATTCAAGATTTCATTATAAAAATAGAATCTGTTGCTCTTTAGATTTTGCTGCATACCAGCTCCCATATGTCCTAGCTAGCTTGGGCAGTTATGGCTAAATTTATTGGTTGATACATGGAAATAAATACTCTAGAATGATTCCTAATGAGATCTAGCAAAACCAACAAAAATCACTTTCTTGTATTTTTCACCCCATTTGGAGTATCCATGATCATTGTACTATATATTCTATTAGGCTGCTAGATTTCTCACTTTTTCTTTAATTTGAGAATGCAAAGACTGCTGTCATATTTGAGATAATTTCCTACCGTGACAGCTTGTTATTTAAAAAAAAAATCTATCTTTCTAACTTTCCTATCTAAACACAGAAACATTCACACAGACAATGAGAGATTGAGACAGAGAAAAAAATGGAAACGATGGGCACAATTACACAAGATTCTACTCTGTAGATTGCCTATATGAACCAGGAGCTAAACCCAGATCAGTCTGAACAAATCTGCAGAGCAAATCAAAAGAGAAGCTGATTTCACTCAAGAATTGTTACATAAAATAAACATCCCAAATGTATCAACGTGGAAACCCACCCTCCAACCCCACTCCCCAAGAAAAGAGGAATGGATCTAATATTTACATCTACTGGTGTGTGATGTTGCTGACCCCGAATGGCTGTTGCCTTCCACCACGGAAGCGGTTGCCTTTCTGTGGTGGGTGAATGATCCCTATATTGGCTGTTTGTAAAGCACTTTGGGCTTCTTCTGGATGAATGATGCTATATAAATATAAGGTGGCATAACATCAAAATGTTTCATATAAACTTGGCAACATTGTAAGAAGACTGAGTTTGGTTGTCACATGCTGAAAAAAACAACAGGCACTAAATACTAGTGAAATGCTTCTGTGCAACTGCTTGAATTAGCATCCACTACAAAACAGAACATTAAGAGAGTCCTCATGAGGTTGTCTCAAGCCATCCTGAAGTCAAGCTGTAGTGATGGCTTGAAATCTCCACAGAGAACCTTTGCATTGTTACATTGCAGATAATACTTCCACAGAAGCATTGCTTTTCTTCAGTTCGTTACACACAGTTCAGAGACAATAATCAGTTGTGGGTTAAGTATATAGGACAAAACATTTTTAAGAGGCCTGAATGGCCAATGTGGAGTGGTCACTGACCACTCTAGACACATCATCCTGTACACCTTCACTGGTTCACTTACTAATCAAACAGCTTTTCAAACTATTATCATGGCTAAATCAGTCTCTCCAGATATTTTCATTGGACAGAATAGGTTAACTCTATGTACCATGCAAACAAACAAACAAACAAAAAACCCCATATATTAATCTAGCACAAAGAATGATATTAACAAGACTAGGACAGTAATGGTTAAATTAAACAAAATTTTAGTTACCTTAAATACAGTATTGAGGTTTAGTTTATTAAACCAATTAATAAAATATGACAGCTAATAAAAAGAAGGAAAACCCCTACTTAAAATACCTGTTTTATTTTAGAAAGGCACATAAGAAGAAAACTGTAAAGCTGCTCTATTATAGAAGCAGGCCATTTTTACAAATTCAGATTTGCTAGCGTCTGGAGGTGGGAATAGAGTTAAATATGCAGAGAATTTCAGAGAGAAAGGGACAGGATAAGAAGAATTTAAATACAGCAAATTTAAACTAATATGATGTTTATTTTTAAAGGTTTTCAAAATTATTCCATGTATGTCATTATAATAATTGGAACCAAAACTAGTTTTTTTAAAAAAGATGATTAACACAAAAATCAAGTTGATATAAAGAAACAATTACTTTAGAAAAAAAAATATCAGGAGGTCCTAATATTCTTAGAATAAGGGGAGGATGCAGCTGTACGTCGACAGCTTTCATATTCTCATTTGAATAATGTGGCCTGAATCTGTCAGTTTATTCATCCTCCTTATGTTCAGTGTACTCTGCATCAACAACAAATTAAGTTGTAAATAAGAGACAATCATCACTTTTGTTTTTAAGCAGCCACTGCATGGAGAATTTCAATGTTGCATTCCTTTTTTGATGGAAGAAAAAGGGATCTCCATAGTGGGCATTAATGTAAGCAGAATATTAGAAACAGGCCTGCAATAAAACAATTAAAGGAGAATTTTAAATCTGTCTTCCAAAATGCCCTCAGATAGTAAGCTAATGCCACTAATAGAAATTTTCAGCATTTGATTTTTTTTTCTTAATATCTATGTCATATTTGAGGTCAGAGAGAAACATTAGAAAGAAAGTACAGTTCATAAATACATATGTAAATTGAAGGCAGGCAGGCAGGCAGGCAGGCAGGCAGGCAGGAAGGAAGGAAGGAAGGAAGGAAGGAAGTTTATAAAACTTTGTCAGAATATTTTATTAGCAAAATTAAATGAAAATTAATAGGCATTCAAGAAACATTCAAACATGCAATCAATAGGAAGAGAATAAACATTAAAATAGCATTTCCTACCTTTACATCTGAGAAGTAGGTTTTCAGCATATTGGAACTTGGGTACCGAGTATAAAAGAACATAAGCTTGGCCTTTTTTAAGTGGTTTGGTGACAAACCTTCCTGCATGTAGGACAAAATGAGTTAAGGAAAACATATTTGGATTGAATGACAGCTCTCAATATTAAGGGCTAACAAATAATTGTACTACTAAATTAGTGTTCAGTTAGCATAATATACAATTACTTAGAAAGGGGGAAATTATGAATCTGAAAATTATGAATCTGAGCTTACAATATAATTTACAGATCTCAAGTGGTACAATTCCTTGAGCATAGTTCCTATTCAACACAATAAAATATGGCTACAATTTCTCCTTCTTGGGAAGAAGAATTGGAAGAAATATTTCAAGTGTGCCATTTGCAAACATGTATGTTCATTTGTTGCTAGGAAAAAATATATGCAAATATGTGCATATAAAAGTTTGCCTTTCCTTTACTCAGTTTCCTTTTCCTTAAGCATCACATTGTTCACATGAATCTTATGCAGAAAATACCAACAGAAACCTTCTTCTATAGATATACCAAAGTATATGGGGTCATTTAACCTATCTGTTTTCTGAATATTGTTACCTTTCAGGTCTGCAAACTGAACAATCAAAAGAGTTCCCAGGAGAATATGGTACTAACTATAACAATCCAGGCATTCTGGTGCTCCTCTCCTCCTCCCCCTTACTGCTTCTTGGCACTCTTTTGTGTACTCTGCTAGGGCAGTTTTGGTCACATCTGTGAAGCAGGCTGGCCCTGCCATTTCCTCTGTAAATTAATGGCTTTATAATGTATCAGAAATGAAGAAGCACATGACAAAAGTCAATGTGGCCCCACAAGGTCAATTAAGATAGCTCCCAGTAGCTACTTGGAAGACTGTCTCCCTTAAAGTCAGTCAGTATGCACATATAAATATGTCATTTATTAAATAGCACACTGCAAAGCAGAGAAAGGTCAAACAAATTCAAAGTGATCCAGAAATTGAAGCACTTTCACTAACGACATGGTGAAAAAAATATTAAAAGGCAGTATTTGTCAAGTTCGCTGATACAATTTACAGTGCACCACAATTAACTTTTTATTGTTTTTAGGTTGTTGGTTTGGATCAATTTGTTTAAAACAAAAACAAAGCAGTAGCTTGTAGAATTTTTGAAACATGAAGTGGATGCAAATTGTATTCATTTGTTCTGCTGGCAAATAACTTAATTTTAATTCTCCAATGATAAAAAAAAAACCCAACTATTTAAGGTTGCTGGTTTGCATAAGCACATTGCAGACCATGCTCAAAAATTGAAAAAAAAAGATAACTTATGTTGAGCATAGATTTCATGCCAGAAGAAGAGTTTAAAGGACCTCCATTAGCTTGATAGTGAAAATTAAAGGAGCATTAATGCCTTTCTGCCATCTCTTAAAATGTACATATAAAATAAAAGTGGCAATCTGTCATCACCTACAATAGCAATACGAATCATGGACAAATAAAAGTTTTCCAATGGAATCCATTTTATTACGCAACTCACTGAGGGGAAGGGAAATGTATTGACACATGTACATACATGCTGGTATGTTCGCACCTTTAAATAACAGTTAATTGTGAGGCAATTAACCTTGGAAATCATTTGTTAGGAATTTTTCTGAAGCAGATCCATATTAACAAATGACAGGCACACAGAAAACGAATGGACGAAGTAATGGGTGTTGTTATTGTTTCATTATTTTGTTTGTATCTTGTTTCTCCTGAAAGGAATTCAGCCTGATCTGTAGGTTACTATCCATATAACCTCAAACCAGCCTATTAAGGATAGAGTAAACAGAAGGATGGTAGTTTGGTCCAAAATCAATTGTATATTTTGTTGGCCACATGGGTATTGGAACCCAGAAATTTCAATATTCTAATCATGAACGTATCTAAGTTCTTTAAATGCTATTGGATTATTAAGATTCTGCAAAATATATATTATGAGCACATTTCAAATTTTCAAAGGTTATTTTTTTTTTGCTTTCAAAACCTTGCCGGGTACTTTTAATGCAATCCTATTTTGCTTTTTTTTTTTTTTTGGGGGGGGGGGGGTTGTTTTTCAAAATACTTTGTTTCAGAGATGACATTATTGCTAAAAAGCCTCACTAATAGCAACTATTAAAAATAGATAGCAAAACATTTAAAGGCCAATAGTGAGATGACCCTTTGCTAAAACTGAGTTGACCAATTGGTTAATTTTCCTTTTAAGTGCTTGTGCTGAAAAGCAACCGTTCTTCCAAGAAAGCACTGCCTGTTTCCAGGATACTTACACACGCACAATGAGTCATGATGGAATAGATTCAGTAAACATACAGCTGTACTGAACACGAGCTAAGCTCCATTCAAGGCCAGGAAAGAAAATGAGCACAAATAAATATTAAGGAGGTAAGGGGAGGGGAGGAGAGAGAAAAGAGGTAGGAAAGCAGGGAGGACAAAAAAGCAACGAGAAGGCAAACACGCTCTGCCCCAACAGCTGATGTTGCTTGCCTCAGTACTCTGCCATAGCTTTGTGAAGACAGATGACATTCAATTGTATGTCTAATGCAAAAGACAGTAACTGCTGAAACCTGAACCAGCTGCCAGGTGTAAAAAAAGGGGGGGGAGGGGAAAAGAAAAGAAAAGATGATAAATCCATAAATTAATGAAAGACATCTGCTCAGGAACATAAAAGATCAGAGGAGCCGTGTACTGCAGCTGAACTAAAACAGTGTTCAAACAACCCGAGGATCTGATTGTTATATATTTACAAAGCATAATGTATTTCTGCTTAGAACAGGAGCAGCAGCAACAGCAGCAGCAGAAAGGGAATTGTGAAGAACAGGCAAAAAGAAAAAAAAATTAAAGGAAGAAGGAT